GATGTAGCAGAGCCGACTGAGGAGGGGGGAAAAGCCAGGAAAGTACGATATCCTTAAGAGAAGAAAGTCATTGAGGAGTAAAGGAGTGGTCAGCTCAGTCAAGCTGCTACAGGCAATTTACTCTCCATGGAAAACTATGCATACATGAAGGAGCTCAATTCTTTAAAAGAAGTACATTATACAAACTTAAAGTTCTAGTTTTAAAAAATAACAGTTCCCCCATCTCCATTTTAAGGGAAATGTGTTTTCAATAAAGAAAATCTAAAAAAATACAGGAAGAGTAGAAAGAAAAAATAATTATCCTAAGAAATTTGCCATTAAGATTTTGAGTATTTTTTCTTGAAATCCTTTCATATATAAAGGTTCAGATTTGCTTTTAAATAGTCTAAACATGTCCCACATGCCATCTTATACCCTGCTTCTTTTGCAGTCTTTCTCATGTTGTTATACATCAATCTTTAAAATATTTTAATGACAACATAAAAACAGCTGTCATTTATTGATTGCCTATAATGAGCCAGGCACTGTATTAAGGGCTTTATAAATACAGGGTCTGGTGGAAGTAATGCCTCCTTGAGTGTGGTTAGTAGGGTAATAATATGGGTGTAATAATTTATAGTTTTAATTTGAACATTTCACCTAAAATGTTATGTGGTGTGCTTGAGTGTGATACTGTTATGTTACAGAATTACATGCTTATGATTTTGTCATTAAAAAGGGGCATTATTTGTGCTGGATCCTGTATATTGTATTGACTATTCACAACAATCTATTAGGCAATTACTGTTACAATCCTAAATTTCTTTAAAAAAAAAAAAACAAATAGGCTACCCTGGCCAGTATAGCTCAGTTTGTTGGAATGCCCTCCGGTAAACCCAAAAGGTCACAGGTTCAATTCCCAGTCATCACATGCCTAAGTCATAGGTTTGATCCCTGGTCGGGGCATATATGAGAGGCAATCGATTTTTTTCTCCCTTTCTCTTTCCCTCCCTTCCCCTCTTTAAAATCAATAAGGATATCTTCAGGTGAGGACAAAAAAAACAGGCTAAGTAATTTACACATGTAAAGTCAAGATTGCACTTTCTGTGCTCTTAACTATGTATTGCCCAGATAATATGATTTGTTTCATTCCCTGTTATAAATAGGGTGGTCTAATTTTTTTAGAATTACAACTACCACTTTGATGAGCATCTTGGAACATGAAGCTTTTTATGAATTGAGAATTATTTCCTCAGAATAGATTCCTGGAAACAAAATTACTGAATCAAGGAAGTATTTTTAAGACTTTTGACACACATGTCAAACTGCTTCCCAAAATGTTTTCTCAATATACCTTATCACAAAAAGGTTACTTTAAAAATCTACTTCAGTCTAAAATACAATACAGGGTATAGAAAAAAAAACTACACCAGGGGAAAAATAAAGACTATGAAAACATCATAAGTGGCCACCAGAGGGCAACCGTATCACAGCGCTGTTGAAAAATCTCATTTAAGACAAAAGACTGAGCTTACAGTTTTAAATTGAGTATTGGCAGTCCTTCATGTTGGACTCCACTTTTATTATATTTCAAAACAGAGAAACCATTTATTTCTCTTATTACTAGCTGCTTTTAAAAAACATAATCATGAAAAGGATTTCTTTCGCCTTAAATTATCTCCAGAATAAGGACAGTTTGGGATTTATTTAACATTAAAGAGAGCTAGTTCATTGCTCCACGGAAAATGAGAAGTGACAACCAGCAATGTAGACTGCTTCCTCATAATGCAGAAGATCGACGGAGCAATTTAAATCAACTCAGCGTGATGAAGCATTTCTGTCATTACTCAGGACTGGAACTCATCTTTCCTCTGTATGGATTCCATTCACTTGTTCATTTATTCAACAAAAACTTAGTGAGTATTTACTATGTGCCACACTCCATGCTACAGACTGTATAAATGGTGAACAAAACAGATGTGGAACTTACAATGAAGTGAATAAGCCATATGTGACTCATAACCACAAATAAATATACAAACTGTGGTAAGTGCTATGAAAAAACAGAAGTGTGTATGAGTGTGTATAATTGGGAATTGTCATTAATCCTGGATCATCAGGAACTGCTTTCTCCATAGGTAGATAGATAGATAGATATTCTTTGCAGAGAGAAGAAGGGAAAGAGAGAAACATCGATCGCCAGCATTCTGTACAGGCCCTGACCGGGAATCAAACCCGCAATCTAGGCATGTGCCCTGACTGGGAATCAAACCTGGGACCCTTCAGTCCATGGGATGACACTCCAACCAACTGAGGCACGCTGGCCAGGTCTGGGAACTGCTTTCTAACAAAGCAACCTTTAACTAAAGGCCTCAGGAAGGATATGATTTATTGAGGTAAAGGGTCCAGGGCTGGGAATGGAGGTGTATTAGAAAGGCCCCTCTAGGCAAAGAAAAGATCATGTATGAGAACCTTGTGATAAGGGAACACAGCTTGTCTCAGGAATAGAGGCCAGCATTATTGGATCATAGACAGTAAAGAAAAAGAATAATATAAAATAGAACTGGTAAGCAGGTAGGGACCAGATCACATAATAGGAAAATAACCCACAATTTCTTCTAAATAAATCTGTTTCACCATAGAGTAGATGATTAACATAAAGAATAGCTTTCGCCCTGGCTGGCGTGGCTCAGTGGATTGAGTGCGGGCTGCGAACCAAAGTGTCGCAGGTTCGATTCCCGGTCAGGGCATATGCCTGGGTTGCAGGCCATGACCCCCAGCAACAGCACATTGATGTTTCTCTCTCTCTCTCTCTCTCTCTCTCTCTCTCTCTCTCTCCCTTCCCTCTCTAAAAATAAATAAATAAAATATTTTTTTAAAAAAGAATAGCTTTCAACACAGATTTTTCCAGGGTACTTTCACATTTTCAAATATTCTGCTAACTTGCTCTCACAAAAACATCTGTATTTGTCAGACTAGTCCTGAATTTTTTGTTGAGGGAAAAAAGACTTCCAAGGAAGTCTCTCTAATCCTTACATTTAGGAAAACTAAAGATAAGAAAAGTCCATGGCCTTTAGTTTTTGTATAGTTTGACTAAGTTTGACTCAATATGGCTTTCTTGTTTTTTCACTGCCTAGGGTTCACTGAGCTTTTTGAGTCTGTGGGTTGATATATTTCATTATTTGAAAAACTCTTGGCCATTATCTCTTCAGATATTTCTTCTACTCCAATCTCTCTCTTTCCTTTCGGAGTCTCTAATTACATTTATGTTAGACTTTTGGCTGTACCCCACATGTTTTTCCTGCTCTGTTCTTTCCATTGCATTGTTTTTTATCTCTATGCTTTAGTTTGGATATTTTTAATAGAGTGACATTTGAATCTATTGTATTAGCCTTGTCTCTACTATGTACAATCTGCTGTTAAACCCATATGATAAGTTATTAATTTCATGTTATATTTTTTTGCTTTTGATTATCCTTTTGATTTTTTTATAGATTCTAAATCTCTTAAAACTTTGTCTCATTTCATCTTTGTCTGGTTTTCCTCTAGTTCCTTAAAATATTAATTTTAGTTATTTTAGTCATTGTATGCTAATGTGAACATGTAGATGGGTTTCCTTCCATTGTTTTCTCTTTATTAGTATCATTCTCCCACTTCAGAATTATCTCATATATTTTTTAAGATTTTATTTATTTATTTTTAGACAGAGGGGAAATGAGGGAGAAAGAGAGAAACAGCAATGTGTGGTTGCCTCTCCTGCACCCCCCACTGGGGACTGGCCCCCAACCCAGGAATGTGCCCTTACTGGGAATTGAACCAGCAACCCTTTGGTTCACAGGCTGGCACTCAATCCACTGAGCCACACCAGCCAGCGCTCATATTTTTATAGTATGCCACATACAGTTTATAAAAGAACCACATATGACTCTCCTTTCCTGTGTTAGGCAAATAAAATAGGACGATCACCTCAGTCCAATCAGAAATAGAAACGAGCTGAGGAAGAACTGCATTTTCAGTATGAGTCAGTTCACCAATGGTTCATCACAATTCCTGGTCGTGGCCCTCTAAGGTTTTTGACTTGAGAGCCTAACAGGCTGAGTCTCCTCAGCCCTGACAGAACTGCAACAGATCCAGTACTTCCCTTTGCTGATCTGAGCCTAGGTCCCACTCCATGCACCTTCAAAATCTGCCAGTGTCTTGAGAGAGAGAGATGGCTGTATGTTGTAGGAGGCCCTCTCTAAATGGATTTTTAATCCTTACCCCAGGACATCGTTATTGATTTTAGAGAGGGGGAAGGGAGAGAAACATCAATGTGAGAAACATTGACCTGTTGCCTCTTGTATGCATCCTGACTGGGGGCCTAACCCACAACCTAGACATGTGCCCTGACAGGGATTGAACCTGCAACCTTTTAGTTTACAGGATGACACTCTGAGCAACTGAACCACACTGGCTAGGGCTGTAAAGAAACTTTTGTCCTCTAAGCACAAGAAGAAAGATTTCTTTCTAGCTTTCAGGCCAGCCCTCCATATCCTACACAGTCAGCTAAGTCCTAAGAGAAAACGGGCCTTGCGTTTAGGGCTCCTCTAGTTTCCAATCCGTCCCACAAGCCCCAAATGACTGCCAAAGGCTCTTCTTGTATCTCTTTCCTCAAGAAGATTTCCTTGGCTTGGGCTAACCCTGCTCCTTAGCCTATGCCCAGAATCAGCAAATGTCCCCTTGGAAAGGAAATGGCTTTGATCATCAGCTCACTTAGGAAGAGTTCTAGCCTTTGGAAATTTTAGTTCATATCATCCTCCTTGTTTCCATAGCTCTCCAACCAATATAATTTTTGAAATGCATGTGGCGTTTTATTTTTCATGTTGTCATTGCAGGAGTTTGGCTTGCTATAACTTATTATATCCCACTGAGAGGAGAAAGACCCTTATAAACTATTTGGAAAGAATCAACCTACAGATGAAGGACTTCAAAATAAAAAGAACAATGGACTAATTACATTAAAAGGTAAGGAAAATGTGTACCTGTGAGGGCATCACAACTGGCAGACCTATTACTGCATTGGCAAGGCGAGCAGCCACTCTTACTAAAGCCATAATATCCGTCTTGGCATCGATCACAGGTAGAGCCGGTGACACCCACTTTACACTGGCATTTCCCAGAACTGCAAATAAAAGCAAAGACAACAAACAAAAGTAAATGAGTTTGAAAATCTTGTTGCCTCACATCCCATCATATGATGATCTTAACGTAGAAATTATTTCGAGTAGACTCTAGAAGTACTGAGTGATTTTTATTTTGAATATAATAGAAATAGTTTCATGACCATATAAATTCAATTAACATAGTACTAACACTAATAATTTGCGACAATTTAATCCTCTGCACTCAGGTAGTTCAATACAAATGACAAAGGAGCCATGGAGAGAGACTATAAGTCCCAGTGCTTAGAAATCTTTGTCTGTTAAGCAGCGGGGCACAGAACTGATACGACTGCCACACCTCATTCCCGAATCATTCCACAGTTCCGTCAGCACCCACGCTGCCCCAGTCTGGAGGTGAAAAGCCCTCACCCAACTTAGCTTCTGCATGAAGAATATGAAGACCAGAATCTTACTGAATGTGTCAACCAATTTCCATTTAGATGCTGGAAACAATATAATTTTCTACTTTAGGTACGAGCTATATTAATATAGATCTAATAATAAAACTGGAATTCACAGTTATGTAAAATGACTATAATGGTGACACCTGTCACTTTCTGGATTAAACCTATATAAAAATTCTAAATTGTCAACTCAAAAGGATTAAAAATCTAAAGTAAGAAAAATAATTTATTTAGTATCCCATGTCTTCCTATTAGCCTATTTTCTTTTCTTACATGTCCATTACATTAATATCACCCCTTTCCAATCAGTGAAACTTAACCTCTGTTTGTTATTTCCAAGTCCTCTCTGCCCCATGTGCCCTCGCAATCACTCTCCCAAACCTGTGTAAATCACCACTTTCTGTTGAATTTCTTAGTATTATTTCCTCTACAAACATCTCTCTTAAAATGTCTTTCCTCCTTCACCTCTCAAAAATTTTCCTTTCAAGTTCATTTGCCTATGAAAGTTTTCTCTGAGTAATCTAAAGCAATCTTTTGGCTTCCTAACTTCACATTCTCTGCACCGTAAATTTTAACCTTAATTATGGTCTGTTCTACATTCTTTCATATATGTAACTCTTGTTTCTCTAGTTAATTTGTTAAAGACATGAACTAAAGACCTGTATCATGTAGTTATTTTTTATTATCCTCAAGACATAGCTCAAGCCTATGGATAACGTACTATAACTATTTTCATTTCATACATCTTACTTGGTAAGTTTGCTGACTCCCGGAACCGTATCTTAGCTACTTTAATATCCTCACAGTCTCATAGTGCCTGGTCTGCTGTAAGCACTTCATATATACTTGACAAACAAATGCTCAATAAATATACAAACTGAGTTTTAGAATTATGTACTGGAAGGGAAAAAGAAAGATGAAGAGCTAAACTACCGGGATTCTCAGAAAAGCTAAAGTTCTTTCCCTTTTTTCCAACAGTATAAGCCTTCTTTATATGCTCATTCTGTACCTCAAATTTTTAGGCTTCATCTGAGTAGATTTTGTTATCAGTTTTTTTGTTTGTCTACCTTAGACAATCAAAGGTGGAACTGTTTTTCAATTTAATTTTTTTTAGAAATTTAGCTCCTAATAATGAGCTTCTGTGGTGTTGTTCATTTTAGTTCAGGAGCCCAAGCTCAGATTATTAAATACTTGCACAGCTCTTACACATACTGTCAGTTAAAGTAATCCCCTACTACTTCCCATATTCCTATTTCTGTAGTAAAAATAGAAGTTCTAAGTTTGAGAGTTATTGGAACTTTGGACTGAACTTTGGAAAATGGAAGTAAAGCAACTTTCAACTGTGTATTTTATTTGTACCATACAAACCTAAGGATTTTTTAAAAATATGTGAGATATGCCTCTCTCTTCCTCAGCATCCCCTGAGCAAAATAATAAGGCTCTTGCCTTCTATTACTATCAAAGTATTTTGAGCAGCTGGAATTGAAGTTGATTCTCTCTCTCTCACTTATCATGGTTCTCTGCAATATCTCAGGGTATGCCAAAAAGGAGTAGAACAGTTTTACATGGAATATTTTTTAGGGCTTTCCTCAAACAAAACCAATCCAGAAGAGAAAGAAAGCCAAGCTCATGTAAGATAAATACTTAACATATCTTAGTCTTGTATCCTGAGAAGTAACCTATCAAAATCTGTATTTCTATCTTAAAGCTGCCTAGTGTATTGGGTTATTCAATTTCTTGACTAACAAAGAATTTTACAGAAAATGTAAAATGAAAGCATCTGAAAGCAGGCATGATGATAAAAACGATGAGCCCTGGCTGGCATAGCTCAGTGGATTGAGCGTGGGCTGGGAACCAAAGTGTCCCAGGTTTGATTCCCAGCCAGGGTACATTCCTGGGTTACAGGCCATAACCCCCAGCAACCGCACATTGATGTTTCTCTCTCTCTTTATTTCCCTCCCTTCCCTCTCTAAAAACAAACAAACAAACAAAAAAACGATGAGCCATCATTTATTGAGGGACTATGTCAATAAGTATATATTCTCCCTAATCCTCAAAATAACTGTTAAGTGAAGGTTTCCTCAATCACACTATTGAGGAAATTCATAAAGGTTAAAGTTATTGTGCACATCTAGTAATTATTTATACAAAGCCAGACTTTCCCATTATACAATGCTACCACCCCTCCTTAAGTTTGACCCTAAATTTGTACAAGAAATTTGCCTGCCGAACGACTTGACATCCACTTGGGTATCAAGCTTCATTATGTAGATTGCAAGCACCACAGTTCACCATATATTTAGGTTCTTACCCCAGTGAGCTGTTTCTGCCTTGCGCAAAATAAACCCCCATCTCTTTTCTCACTGCCAGTAAATTTCAGGTCTTCTGTGACAAAAGCTAAGGGGTCTTACTGCTTGTAGAGAAACTGTAGCCTAGCAAAGCCCAAGTTTCTCAGAAGATGTAAACCCAACTATTTTGATTCTTAAACCTTAATTAAAATCTGTACTTAGTATGGGAGATGAGCATTGCTTTTTTAAATATGGCAGAAATTTATATTAGCAACCATATCTCTTAAGTAACTTTATAAAAAATTAAAAAGAAAAGAAAAAATACACCCATACACACATATACAGTCTCACACAAGAATACTCCAAGGTACTTGAAGATCTGTTAAAGTAAATCTGTATCCACTAAACATGAAGTTCAGGAACATCTTCTGATTCAGAAGAAGGAACCAATCAATTTAAGTCTTGCAATCTTGCTATACTGTCAGAAAATTATAAAGGATATAATGTACCTTTCAAAGAATGGCTAACATCATTTCATTAGCTAATTTTCAAAGCTTTTAAAAATGAACAAAATATGCTTGCTTCTCATTGCTCTATGGACATTAGATTATTTATTCAGTATCCAGAAGAAATACAGTTATTTTAAATTAAAGTGTTTGCCCAACCCACCACATATGAGAAAATGGTATTATCTTGGAATACCTAATAATATAATATTAATAATGTTATTGTTAATTCTTAATAATTAATAATATAAAATATAGTCAGTGTTCTCAAAGTAGATGCTATTCTTTTTTATTTCAGTCCTCACCTGAAGGTATGTTCTCATTGATTTTTAGAGTGAGAGGAAGGGAGAGAGGGAAAGAGAAACATTGGTTGCCTTCTGTATGCACCCCAACCAGGAATCGAACCCACAATCTAGGTATGTGCCCTGACCAGAGATCAAACCCGCAACCTTTTGGTATACAGGATGACACTCCAACCAGCTGAGCCATGCAGCCAGGGCACAGATGCTATTTTTGTAAGTGGATTTGCCCTTCATAATTCTTAAATCAGAAGACTGATTAAAGGAGGCATTTTTTTCTCCCTGGAGCATATGCCCCTTAGTTCATGATTTTAAAAAATAATCCATGATGGTTTTATGAATCTTATGATAAAGCAGTTGACTAGTCTAGACATCACGCTTTGCTTTTCTTGGGTAGATTTTAAAACAACAGGAAAGGAGATGCTCTTTTCTCCCTTTGTAAAAAATACACAGAATGGAGTGGGGAAGTTTAACTGTGAGGCTGCACAAGCAGGCTTTTCCACCCTGTTACCAGGGCCAAGCTCCGCATGTATAAGAATTAAATCACTCAGCAAATATAAAGCTTTCCCTGTGTGACTTCTTTTACAGAATAAAGGCTTTACAACACCCCCTTTCATAGTCTTCCTCTGTTAAAGACTGTTGAATGCTTTTTGAAGCAAAGGTCAGTGATATAAATGCAGAGAAGAAAAAAAATAGGCCTGTTAACAAAAGACTTATCCTTATCCATAGGTCTGAATGAAAGAACCAAAGACTCACATCTTTATATCTAGAGGGTAAGGGCAAAGAACTGGATTTTGAACAGAAATCTATACCACTGAGATAAACTGAGAATTTAAGACAGAATTGCTCATCTGGTGTCACTCTTTATAGATATGACTTAGCTGGTAGTGAAGTACTAACATCATATGGAGAATTATATCAGAAAAAAAGGATATAGAATTAATTATAAAGGAAGCACAAGCCTTGTGGAACTAAGCTGCATTAAATATAACTAAGTGTATACTTAGTTATACTAAGATATACACATATCTTGAACTATCCTATATGGAATTCTCAGATTTTCTTAGTGTCAGTGGTTAGAGACTGACTTTATCACACTCACAGGTATGAGCAACTGTTACAAGGTTTGAACACTTAAAAGTTATTCCTTAAAATATAAACAAGTAATACATTTCTGACATGAAGCTATTAATATTTCAAAAGGAAATGCAATGGCTATCTCAAGATGGGGTGCATATTTATGTCATACAAGTACTAACCAATGTGTCCTTTGAAAGGTTCTGTTTTGTTTAAGATGGGTGGGTGGAGAGTCTTCAGATTTTCCATTATTTTATAATCACACTGACTAGGGTGGGAAGGGTGGAACACAGGAAGGGAGGTATCAGGGTCTATGGAAAATTCATAGCCTGAGGAGACAGAGAGAGACAGTTCAAATTCCAGCTCTGCTAGTAACTAGCTGGAAT